ATATAGAATTAATATATTATACAGCATATTTAAATATTCATGGACTAGATATCATCTCAAGAGAAATGAATACTCATGTTCACATAAAACATGTATTTGAGGGGCACCTGGGTGCCCCAGTCTGTTAAGCGTCTGACTTTTGATTTCAGCCCAGGTCATGAGCTCACAATTCATGAGATAGAGCCCTACATGGGGTTCCATGTGCTGACAGCGCAGAGCCTGTGTTGCCTCTGTCTCTCTCTGCCCATCAACCCCAACTCATTCTCTCTCTCTCAAAATAATTAAATAAACTTAAAAACAAACATATATTTTGTGAATGTTCACAGCAGCATTATTCATAATAGCCAAAAATTGGAAACAAACCAAATGCCCATAAACTACTGATTGATAAAATGTGGTATACCCACAAAAATTAGCAATAAAAAGAAATGAAGGACTTGGGACGCCTGAGTGGCTCAGTCGGTTAAGCATCCAACTTCAGCTCGGGTCATGATCACACGGTTTATGTGTTGAAGCCCCATGTCATGCTCTATGCTGACAGCTAGCTCAGAGCCTGGAGCCTGCTTCAGATTCTGTGTCTCCCTCTCTCCCTGACTCTCCCCTGCTCACGCTCTCTCTCTTTCTCTCTGAAATAAATAAAAAACATAAAAAAAAAACAGAAATGAAGGACTGATTCATGCTATTGTATACATTGATGAACCTGGAAAACATGCTAATTGAAAGAAGCCAATTACAAGAGCACCTGGGCTACTCAGTCAGTTAAGCATCCAAGTTTGGCTTGGGTCATGATTTCATGGTTCTTAAGTTTGAGCCCTGCATTGGGTGAGCTCAAGCCCGGTTTAGGGCTCTGTGCTTTCAGTATGGAGCCTGCGTGGGATTTGCTCTCTCTTCTTCTCTCCCTCCCCTCATTCATTGTGCCCTCTCTCTTTCAGAAAGAAAGAAAGAAATAAAGAAAGAAACGAAGAAAGAAAGAAAGAAAGAAAGAAAGAAAGAAAGAAAGAAAGAAAGAAGAAAGTCAGTCACAAAGGATCACATACTGTATAATTCCACCAACATGAATTGTCCAGAATAGGTAAATCAATAGAAAGAGAATAGATTAGTGATATCTAGGCTGGGGTTTGGGGATAGTGTAATAGAGAGTGAATGAAAAAAGTAGTAGGTTTCTTTTTGGGATGATAACAATATTCTAAAACTGATTCTGGTGATGGTTTCAAAACTGTGTAAATGTATTAAAAAACTGTGAATTGTATGCTTTAAATGTATGAATTTTATAGGATTTAAATCAAATCTTAATAAAGCTGCTAAAACCTCAGTTTATGATAGTGAAAAAACATGATCAAAATCCATTTGTTTATGGGGGTGCCTGGGTGGCTTAGTCGTTTAGGCCTCCGTCTTTCGCTTAGGTCGTGATCTCGCGGTTTGTGGGTTTGAGCCCCGCGTTGGGCTCTGTGCTGACTGCCAGCTCGGAGCCTGGAGCCTGTTTCAGTCTGTGACTCCCTCTCTCTCTGACCCTCCCCTGCTCACGCTGTCTCTCTCTCTCTCTCTCTCTCCTAGAAATAAATAAAAAAAACATTTAAAAAATCCATTTGTTTGGAAAATGGATGATGGGCATTGAGGAGGGCACTTGATAGGATGAGCACTGGGTCTTGCACGGAAGTGATGAATCATGGGAATCTATTCTAGAAGCCAAGAAGAGCACACTGTATACACTGTATGTTAGCTAACTTGGCAATAAATTATTTATATTTAAAAAATTGATTTAATTGCATTATATATCTTTATAAAATTAAATTTAATAAATAAATTTTTTTTTAAATTAAAAACAAACCATTTGGTTATTTCAACCTGTCCTTGAAATCTAAAGAATTAATAAAAATATAATCAAGAACACCTTCATAAATCAAGATAGTTAGTGTATGCTCAGATATGGCAAGGTTTTAATGAGAAGAGAAAGCAGATGGTTTAAAACCACAAGAAACAACCACAAAGCTACATAAGTGGTCAGAGAGAAGGAAGAAAAGAGAACTTATACAAGAATCTATAGCATGTCTCAGCTTTAATCTAGTTTGCTTCGGTTCATATGTGGCTTTTAAAGACTAGTTATTTAACATTATTTTAAAATATAACAAATTTCTGGCAAGGAGACAAATAAATTATTTGTGATGGTGTAGTAGGTAAGTTCCAAAGTTGTACCTTGAAATATACCCTGTTATTCATGCTTTTGTATGTTTCCCTCTCACACAGAATCTAGATTGACCCTTTGACTCTTTTTTTTTTTTTGATTACTAATAATTTAAGTTAGATTTAAAATGTCATACAAGGGGCACTTGGGTGGCTCAATCAGTTAAGGATCCAACTCTTGATCTCAGCACAGGTCTTGATCTCAAGAGTTATGAGTTCAGGCCCTGTACTGAGCTCCATGTTGGGCATGGAGCCACCTTAGAACAGAACAGAATAGAATAGAATAGAATAGAATAGAATAGAATAGAATAGAATAGAATAGAATGTCATACAAAATTTTGAAGCTAAATGATGGGTGTGTGAACACATATACATTTTGTATGTTTGAACATTTCTCTACTTTTTTGTTTTGCTTTGTTTTGTTTTAACCAATAGAATACACTGAAAGTGATATTAGACTAGTTCTAGACTTAAGCCTTAAGAATACTTGACAAATTTTTGTTTTTGCACTTTTGAAAAGAGTCCTGAAGTGCCATGTATGAGGTTTGGCTACCCTACTGGAGAGATTCTAGAGGTCACTTTCAGTCAACCAACTCGAACAATGGAAACCTGAGTAGGGTAGAAGAGCCCACAGAGACCCCCCTAGCTGAATACAAACAGGCTCATTAGCCCACCTACCTCAAAATATCCATAAGCCCTAGCTGACCATTGAGTTACTTATACTTGGACACAGCTACCAAAAAAGGAAAATTCCCTCACCTCCTCACCTTCTCCCTTAAATACAGCCCCCCACTCCCCACCTGACTGCCTCCTGGTAGGCAGTCTCTCCTTTGCTGTCCCACTGTCTGATCCCTTGCAGTATAGTCAGTAAACTTCTCGCTCCTTTGTTCTGCATTGGGGGAATTCTTTCACCACCCAGCTGCCTCTGATCAGGTCACCCCACAGAGTCATATGGAGAAGTGACTTAGAGAGGCCAGGTATAAAGGGAGAGACCCTGAGACTGCATGGACAAAGAGGCCCCAGCCATCCCAGTGGCCTATTTCAGCGCTCCCCCTCCTCTAACCAACCTAAGCAAAGTTCCAAACACATGAGAGTGCCATTCTGGATGTTCAATCTAGGGGACACCCAAATGACTGCAGCATCATCTGCGGTCACATGGAGCAGAACTCCCAACTGAGGCCAATCAATCCACAGAATCATGACAGATAATACAATAAGGCCACTGAATTCTGGAGTGGTTTTATTATGCAGCCATAAATAATTGAAATGAAACATTTTCGTTTTGTATTCCTCCAATCTTTTGATCCCACAGGTGTTGATGGGCTTTGCTGTTCTTAGAGCTATTTGGGGGAAGAAAATATCATTGTCTGTCTTTCTTTCTTTCTTTCTTTCTTTCTTTCTTTCTTTCTTTCTTTCTTTCTTTCTTTCTTCTTGAGAGCACATGTGTGACCAGAGGAGGGGCAGAGAGAGAGAGAGAGAGAGAGGGAGAGAATCCCAAGCAGGCTCTGCACTATCATCATGGAGCCTGATGTGGGGCCTGAACTCATGAGCTGTGAGGTCATGACCTGAGCCGAAATCAAGAGTTGGATGCTTACCCAACTGAGTCACCCAGGTGCCCCTATTGTTTTACATTTTTAATTTTTAAAGGTTTATTTATTTTGAGAGAGAGAGAGAGAGAGCAGGGAAGGGCAGAGAGAGAGGGTGATATAATCCCAAGCAGGCTCCACACTGTCACCATGGAGCCTGATGCAGGGCCTGAACTCATAAACCACAAGATCATGACCTGAGCTGATATCAAGAGTTGGTTGCTTAACCAACTGAGCTATCCAGGCGCCCCTTGCTTTTCATTTTTAAAACTTTATTTGGACATAATTTCAAGTTTACAAAAAATGTTGCAAAGTAGTACATAGAGCTTCCATATACCCTCCAGCTTGATCCTCTACTTATTTCTCAATTATTTCAGAGTAAGTTGTAGACATAATGCTCTATTACCCTTTAATATTTCAATTTGTATTTCTTGAGTGCAAGGATTCAGTACAACAATCAAAATCAGGAAATTAACCTTGATCCAATAATATCCTCCAATCTACACACCCTATTCAAATCTTACCCATGGTCTCAATAATGTCCCTTATAGGTTCAGGATTCGATTTACAATCACATTTTGCATTTAGTTGTTGTGTCTCTCTTTTTAAATTTTTGAAAGGTTCATTTATTTTTGAGACAGAGCATGAACAGGGGAGGTGCAGAGAGAGAGAGGGAGACACAGAATCTGAAGAAGGCCCCAGGCTCCAAATTGTCAGCACAGAGCCTGACGCGGGGCTCGAGCTCACAGACCATGAGATCATGACTTGAGCTGAAGTCGGACACTTAAATTACTGAGCCACCCAGGCACCTCTAGTTGTTGTGTCTCTTTAGGCTTCTTCAATCTGGAACAATTTCTCAATATTTAATGATCTTTCATAATCTTGATAGTTTTGGAGAGCCCAAACCAATCGCTTTTGAGAATGTTCCTCAATTATGGTGAGTTGTCTGATGTTTCTTCATAATTTATGCATTTTGACAGAAATCTTACAGGGGTGCCTGGGTGGCTCAGTCGGTTAAGCATCCGACTTAGGCTCAGGTCATGATCTCACAGTTTGTGGTTTCGAGCCCCGCATCGGGCTCTGTACTGACAGCTAGCTCAGATCCTAGAGCCTGCTTTGGATTCTGTGTCTCTCTCTCTCTCTCTCTGACCCTCCCCTGCTCACGCTGTCTCTCTCTCTCAGAAATAAATAAAAACAGCTCTTCTTGTGAGTGGCCTGAGGTGATCTCTCAAAATGGTTCGCTATTTACTTGACCTGGAAAACCCGACAAAATCATGCAAATCAAGAGGTTCAAATCTTCGTGTTAACTTTAACAACACATGTGAAACTGCCCAGGCCATCAAGGGTATGCATATCCGAAAAGCTACCAAGTATCTTAAAGATGTCACTTTGCAGAAGCAATGTGTGCCATTCAGATGCTACAATGGTGGAGTTGGTAGGTGTGCCCAGGCCAAACAGTGGGGATGGACACAGGGTCGGTGGCCCAAAAAGAGTTCTGATTTTTTACTGCACATGCTTAAAAATGCAGAGAGTAATGCTGAACTGAAGGGTTTAGATGTAGATTCTCTGGTCATTGAGCACATCCAAGTGAACAAAGCCCCCAAGATGCAGCGTAGAACTTACAGGGCTTATGGTCAGATTAACCCATACATGAGCTCTCCCTGCCACACTGAGATGATCCTCACTGAAAAAGAGCAGATTGTTCCTAAACCAGAAGAGGAAGTTGCACAGAAGAAAAAGATATCCCAGAAGAAGCTGAAGAAACAAAAACTTACGGCCTGGGAGTAAATTCTGCATAAAATACATGCAAATAAAGGTAAACACAGAAAAAAAAAAGAAATAAATAAAAACATTTTTAAAAATTTAAAAAAAAAAAAAAGAAATCTTACAGAGGTGATGCTGTGCTAGTCTCCAGGAATCATACAAGGAGGCACATGATATAATGTTGTTCCATTAATGATGATGTCAACTTTTATTACTTAGTTAAGATTGTGTCTGCCAAGTTCTTTATTGTAACATAATAAATGATTATTTTGTAGCAAGAGTCTTTAGATCATTTGACTATCTTGTTTCTTAGCAAATTTTCACCAGTTTTACTATCAGTTAATGATTCTAGTCTGAATAAACTATTATTCTGATAATTATGAAATGGGGATTTTCTAATCTTGTCATTCCTTCTGGATTTATTAGGTGGGATAGAGCTTTTCTTTCTTTCCTATTAATTAATTAATGTCAGTATGGACTCAGAATTTCTCTTTTACTCACAGGGTTACAATCTGTCATTATCACTATTTATTTTGATACTCAATTTGTCCCACACTTACCAGAAAAAGCCAATTCAAGCTGGTTGCTGCATATTATAGACCTGTTCCCATAATTTTTCAAGCTTTTTTTTTTTTTTTTTTTTACCTTCTGGTATCATAAAATGTTTCAAATACATACATCTTATATTTTCTCTGCTCTAGTCCTAATGTCAGCCATTTTGGCAAGGAGACCTGGTTCCTTTTCATGGAAAATGTTATCTAGAAAAAAGCCCGAAATATGTTGTTATCAGAATGCCATTGTTTCTTAGTGAACAGAGCTAGAACATACACACATGCATATACACACAAGCAATTATATTTGTTTGTCTATCTAGCCAGGTCAGAACACTGATATCTCCAATTCCTTTGCAGCACTCCAGGATATATTCTGTAATTCCTAATTTCCATAGTTGCAACTCCTTTCTCTGATAGTGAGAAATCTGTATTTATTTATTTGCCTAACCCTGGACATGCCAACTTCTACCCTTTACTGGATACCAGTGGAAAGCTCAGCCCCAATGAAGGGGAACAGGAAGAGAAAAGTCTTTTTTTTTTCTATGTGTCAGAAACTTGAGCAACATATAGCAGACATTTATGTATATTCAACTTTTTGACCAAGCAGTACACAAACCATTCATGTTCTTAAGTAACATGAAGGCCAAGTAGGTTTGCTTAATGATCCATATATCATCATTAGCAAAGATTTTGGCAAACTAGAATTTCAGTGGTATCTCAAAAAGCAACAAAAGACACTAGATTGTGAACCAGAAGGAACTTGGTTTAATTTCTGTCTATATGAGTCAGTGAAGCAACTGTGGGTAAATTTCCTAATTTCTCTGAAATGCAGTTTCCTTTTCTGTAAAATGGAGATAAAGACATTATTCTGCTTAGGATTAAATGAGACAAAACATATGCAATGGATTTCCTTGGTAGAAACTGGATCTTGAGATTTTTTAAAAACTTTTTAAGTATTTGTTTATTATTGAGAAACAGAGAGACAGAGCATGAGCAGGGGAGGCACAGAGAGAAGGGGAGACACAGAATCAGAAGCAGGCTCCAGGCTCTGAGCTGTCAGCACAGAGCCCGACATGGTGCTCAAACCCACAAACTGTGAAATCATGACCTGAAGTCGGATGCTTAACCAACTAAGCAACCCAGGCACCCCTGGATCTTGAGATTTTTTTAAAAGCCAAATAAAAATTGTTACTTAAGAGTTGTAAGCAGTTTCTTCTTGGTAACAAGTGAAGGTTTGGATACATATTGAAAGTTGACTGCCCTCTGTTCTGGAAAAGCCGTGACTTTGTTTTAAAATTATGCAAATAAATACAAAGTATCCACCCTTTGTTCTTAGGAGAAAATTGAGTAAAGTAAACTAAAATGTAGTGAGTTTCAATCAAGAAATTATGTGTTTGATCATGTAAATTTGGTGTCTCTTTAGGACCTTGAAGGGGAAACTGTTCTTTCCCTGTTCTTTCTTCCATGAATCGAGGCTGCCTTATGCCTATAATTATTACTCATTCTTGGAGAGTAGTGTAAATTTTTTTTCTGTTGTTTTATTTTAGGAGGGAACCCTGAGGAGTACAAGAGTGACCACAGACGTGAACTTCACCTCATATTGGAGGAGTGACTGTACACCATAATAGCTCTGGGCTATTGGTGCCCTTCACATGATAGTTTTCAAGACTGGATAAGCCAGAATGTATTGATACTGATCTGTTAGTTCAGTTCCACTGAAAAGCAAATCAAGATGCTATTAAATGTGCAGGAAATTTGTGAGGGAAAATGCTTGTGAGACAAAATGGAGAGAGAACAGAGTTTGGACAGTTATTTTCCAGACTATGGATGAAAAAGTAAAGTAATTAAGACTATAGAAGACAGAGAATGAAGCAAGTTTTGATTCACATTGACTTGCCTGTACTCCTAGCAAACCTTTTTCAACTCTGGGGCACTATGGACTCTGGGTTCCTCCTCCCTGGCAGTGAGCCAGGGCAATTGTAAAGCTTGCACTGCTTATTTCTCTTCTCTTCTTTCAGGTATTACTACCATGCACTGCCTATTGGCCAATGTTTGAAAATTATTGTTTCAAATACTTTGTCTGTTTTTTTAGTTTTTAGGCAAGAGGGTAAATCTGGTCCCTGTTACTCCCTCTTGGTCAAAACTGGAAGTTAACTTCCTATTTGTTTATGCCAGTCTTAGGGTTCTATTATTTGTAGCTAAAAGCATTCTTAATGGATACATGCCTCTTTGAAGTCATTTAGGTGACTAATTTATATTCTGACTAAAATATAATCTTTATTGTATACCAAACAAAGAGTAAAATCATATTAAGTGGTGATATACTAATTATCACTAAAAAAGAGATGACTATCAGCATCACTATATTGATATACTAAAGGTTGTAGCTAATGCAATCAGATGTACAGAACTAAATATTGCAGGGGCGCCTGGGTGGTTCAGTCAGTTAAGCATCCGACTTCAGCTCAGGTCATGATCTCATGGTTTGTGGGTTCGAGTCCCACGTTGGGCTCTGTGGTGACAGCTCAGAGCCTGGAGCCTGCTTGGGATTCTGTGTCTCCCTCTCCCTCTGCCCCTCCCCACCTCAAGCTCTGTCTCTCTCTGCCCCAAATATAAATAAAATTTTTTTAAAAAAGAAATAAATATTGCAACTAAAGTGGCAACATGAATTTGATTTTTCAGATGATATGATTACATAACAAGAAAACCCAAGAGACTCTATCAATAATAAATCTTTTTTACAACTAATAAGAATTTCTCTTGTGGTAAATTTAAAAATAGCCTTTTTTAAAATTATAAGTAATTTCCTGGAAAGGGTAATTCCAAAAGCTATTCCAGTAATCAACAACTTAGAAATAAATTTAATAAGATAATACATCTGTGTGTAGAAAAAGCAATACATTTTACTGAAGGAACACAAAACAAAACTTTTTTAATATGCAAAATCCTTATTTGCAAATACCATTTCCAAACATTTCTGAGGATGGGGACTTGAAGATTTTCTCTCAAAATCTTCCCCACCACTTTCGCTCAGCTGAAGTTTGATAATGATCAATTAATTAGAAACTTCTGTCTGTGTTTCCTAGATTTTGCTTTGATGCCCTGCCTAATGGTGTTCAAGTTGATGTCCGTTTTAGTAGCTTTTTTTTACATTTGAATGATGTCTGATTTTGATTGGCAAAATGCTGAGCTGCCAGATACTGTACAGTGTTGTATGTTATGTATGTATGTTAACACATACAGTTAACAGTTTAGTTGGCAAAGTTGTGGACAAGACAGAAACTGGAAAAAGATAGCAAAGAAGTCCTAAATGATCTTAGCTGAAAGGGGATGGGAAGTGCATGGGTGCCATGCCTTGTGTGACATTTTACTAAATTTATAAATTTCAGGATTTCTCTTAAGTGAATTTCTGAAAATCATGGCATTCCTGTACTAGCCAAGGAAGTTTTCTTTATAGAAGCATAGAAATCCATACTGTTGCAAATGTTCTTACAGATGGAATGGATAACTTTCTAGATTAGTGTTTATCAAATGCCAGATCTTGTACTGATTGTGCCAGAATCACCAAGGGACCTTACTAATAATGCACATTCTTTGGCTCCATCACAGACCAACTGAGTCGGAGTATTTTGGGCAGGGTCTAGAAGTTTGTATTTTGAAAAAGCTTCCTTAGTTGATTCTGAGGTGCACTCATATTTTAGAACTAAATGTCTGAAAGTCTCCATACCCCCTAAATGTCTTAAAGTCTTGTTACATTTAAATGTTGAAGATGTAATTGATGTGTAAATGTTATCAATGTGTATTAAGCAGTGTTCCTTCACTTGCCAGTGACAAAGACCTAACTTTAGCAAACTGGGTAACACACTTGAGAAGAAGGAGGAGAGATTTTTCAGTCCTGGCTTGCTCCATTAATTCAAATGATGTCATCAGGGGTTGGGGCTTTCCAATTCTTAGAAGGCAATCTACACCAAATGGGGGAGAAATCTGTTTTTAGGCTTTCCTAAAACAAGATTTGCAACCTGGAGTTAGAAAGGGAAGACATGCATGCAAGAAATAATTTTCTAATAGGTCAGCATGAGAGTTCCCAATAAACTGTAGCCAATCATGGGTCACATGTTTATCACTGAGTGAGAAAGGGGTGTGGGTCAACTTCATCTAAACCATCTTGAATAGGTTCTCTTTAGGGAAGAAAGGATTGTCACCAAATAAAGATGGATGTGATGCTGAGAAGTCAAAATAAAAGATGATTTCTACAAAATGATCTGACAGGGGCAAAGAATGCATCAGCACAGACCAGTGGTTCTCAAAACGTAGTCCAGCGACTGCCCTGAGTGTCTGAGATACTTTCAGGAGGTCCACATTATTTTTCATAAAAATATGTTATTTTTGGGTGTCCGGGTGGTTCAGTTGGATGAGTGACTGACTTATGATTTTGGCTCGGATCATGATCCTGGGGTCATGGAATCGAGC